ATGAGTTCGAAACATAAGATTGGAGTCCAGTTATATCATTCAGGTTGTCTTATGAAGTAACTTATTTTAGAAATGGAATGCGATGGTACATAAATTCATTGGAATTTTCCATGTTTTATTAAATTTTTTATTTCTCTTGTAGGTTTTGAACCTTTCAAATGGTATAGAGGAGATGGTGAATCCTGAGAATGTCTGGAATGGCATCCCCAAATTGGATAAGAGTCCATCTGAGGTATGGAATTATATAAACAGTAATTCATGAAAGCATTGATCTTCATTTTAAAAGGTGATTTAATAAGATATTTCCAAAGTCCTGGTGTGAGGAAGAAAAAATAATATTGTAACAATAATAGTTAAGAACAGCAATAACAAAATAAATGTTTCTAGACTTTATGCCAAAGTGTTCTTTTGGGCAAACTATTTATGTTTTATTCCTTAATTTTTCAGTTTAGGGTTCAAAGAGTGAAAGTGGTTTGCTGTTCAGGGTTTGTAAAATTCACGTTCGATGTATACATTGTGGAACATATGGCAAAATGAAAGAATGAGAAAGTAACAATCACCTATAGTATATCCATCTGAAGATAATCATGTTGATCAGTTTGGTTGGCTTTCATAATTTTTCTGTTTATAATATATGTTCCTTCTGCATATTTTGTACAGAAGTGATTTAGTCTACATATGGTTTTATAGTCTGTATTCTTCATTTAAGATTATATGGAGGCCATTTTCTGTGCCATTATGATGGGTCTGGGCATTTGAGTTCATCCCACTGGGAGTTTGTTAAACTCTTTGAACTTCTTGTTTCACAGTCTTTGTCAGAGGCCCCTTCTCTGGTCATCTTGGGGTTTGCATCTGTTAATTGTCTTTTTGCTTGTGAAAAGGTTAGCCTTTCCTATTTTTTTATATGTTGAATTATTTTCAATGAAATCTTGAATGTTTTAAATATTGTGTAAGACTTTGGTTCCTATTAAAATCTTCTGGAGGATAGTGAAGTTTTTGTTTGAGGAAGTCATCAACCGGCTGAGGCTCATCCAGTTCTGTCTCTCCTTTGGTAGTTGATGGTTCTTACGTCAGTTTAGGTTCCAAGCCTTAGCTATGTTTTTCAGATGTGCCTGGTATATAAGCCACTCAGGGGTTAGCATAGGAATTGGACAGTGGTCTATATATTCCATGACATATTTTTCTATGCAAATGTTTCTCATGACTTTTCTGATGACCTAATACGTGGCAGTCAATGACTTTGCTGTTCTTTTTGGTTCTTTTCTGCATATGCATGGCTCAGGAGAGATTTGGAATTTATTTCAGTTCATACATGTATCAGAGGTTAAAATTTCCTAACTCTCCCTGGCTGGGATTTCCTTCACACTTTCTGGTTTCCTAAATCCTCTTTTTTTCTAGCTCTTAAGGCCCCTTTTTATGGTCCTCTGACGAGAAAGTTTGTTTCTCTCAATATTTCCCTCTGTGCCATCAGGCAGTTCAACTAAGCCTGTCTTTGTAGAGGAGCAGAGAGGAAAATGAAGGAAACTTCTCTTACTCTTCAGATAACAGACAGCCTTTTTCCTCATTCCACTGGCAGAGAAAGGTCTTCTCTCATATTTTTGAGTGCCATGGCTGTCACCAGGCAGCAACCGAGGTTACTCCCAGGACAGGTTCAGAAGTTTGAAATGAGTGGAGGGGAAGACAATAAAGGTGTTCCCAGCTATTCTCTACCCTCTAGTATTCAGGGACCCTTTTTCCAAAGTCTGGCTAGAAATACCCAATCTGGGCAGTTTCAATTTGACACACCCTCAGATCAAAAGTAGGAAACAGGGGCCAGCAGATGGCATAGTGGTTGTGACGCTGGACTCCCACGTGGCCGACTGTGGTTCGAGTCCCAGACCTGGCAGCTTGAAACTCATACTGGGCGCATGTATTTGCATGCCCAAAATCTGAGAGAATGCTGAAGAGATTGTGGCATAGCCATTCTTCCTGAGAGATGATTTCTCACTTTCTCTCTCTCTGTCTTCCTCTGTCTCTCTAGCAAGTACACATGCCCTATAAGGGAAAAAAAAAAATCTCTCTCTTAAAAAAAGTAGGAAATAGGGGACCAGCAGTTAGCGTAATGGCTATGTCGCTGGACTCCCATGTGGTCGACTGCGGTTTGAGTCCCAGACCCGGTGGCTTAAACTCACGCCGGACACTTGTGCATGCATGCCCAAGATCCTGAGAGGAGAATGGAGGAGAAGGGATTGAGGCATGGCCATCCCCCATGGGGGGTGATTTCTCACTTTCTGTGTCTCTGTCTCTCTCTGTCTTTCTGGCCAGTGCCTGCGCCCTATAACAAAAACCTTTCCAAAAAAAGAAAAAAAGAAAAGAAAAAATGAAAAGTAGGAAACAAAGATGTAAAGAAAGACAAAAAATAAATAAATAAAATAAAAAGCCTATGAAACTCATTGGTAGTGTGAGTCATTATTCATATTGTTACTTTAGTCCTTAACTGAACTGTTTCCTTTACTTTCAAGATTCTTTAAGTAGTTGCTTTTTGTATTGTCCAGAATCTTAGTTGTAATCAGTGGAAGACAGATACTGTCAATTTACTCCTCTTTATTTTTATGATTTATTTATTTCTTCTGAGAGAAAGAGAGAGAGCGAGAACACCTCCGACAGAGTCCTGATGCCTTGATCCACCCCCAGCCTCAGCCAGCTCTGGATCATGGATATACATGTGCTCAGCATGTACAGGGACATCTCCAGATGCACAGCTGGGATCTTCCCATGCTTATCAGCCTTGCAGAGCATCATATTTTACCACTGTGCCACCATCCAGCCCTCGCTGATTCCTTCCTGACTGCAACCAGAAGGCCTTTAATAATCTGTGCAATGTATTGAGTAGCATAGCATTAATGAGCCCTATTATACTATAGGAAAGCCTTTCCTACAATGTAAGATATTTAGATTATTTGAAGTCCTTCACTCTTAAGCATCATTAAATATTAATTCCATTTTTTCTTACATGCCAAAAATAACAGCCTGCTACACCTTTTTTTTTCATCAGTATTTACTAAAACTTTTACATTCTGATTGTCTCCATCCATTACTTTCAGTGTCTACAGCTGAATATATATACACAGATACACACAGGATTCTAGTTGGGTAGAGTAACCCATGCTTGCCAAATAGAAAAGAATCATTCAGTATTATTTAAAGTGGACATAAAATAGTATACAAACTTGTATTGTTTAACAACAGGGGTACATTCTGAGAAATGTGTCATCAGTAGTGCAAACATCATAGCATGTACCCACACAAATGCAGTATAGCCTACTAACACCTAATCAGCTTGTCGTTGACCTACCGTCACTGTGTAGTACATGACTACGTAAATCACCTCCTGTTTAATTAAGCCACTTAGCAGACACATAGGAAGTGCTTCTGAGTAACGCTTTAACTTTTTAAAATTCAGTTATTAATAAGATCTAAATGATCCTTTCCTCCAATTTGAGGAAGCACTCAGATAAGGATGCCATCTACAGGTAAGCTAGTGTTCCTTAAAAAGAGAATATTGTTAAGTATTAAGTGAGCAGGGTATTTTTGTTGTTGTTGGGGAAGTGTTTCTGATTACATTTTTTAGACTTTTATCTGAGCTGTTTCATTTTACCATAGGAATATTAATGAGTTTTTGTTCCACATCATGCATGTGCATGATGCTATTAGTTATTGAGAGGAATATAGGAGAAATAGATATCTTTCTTTAAAAAAGTATCTCTAGCTAGTCATGAATAATGTGTGAATAGCAGCCCCTGAAGTAATGCTGTCCCGGGACCAGCAGTGGGTGTAATGGTTATGTCACTGGACTCCCACAGTCCACCACTGTTCGAGTCCCCAGACCCGGCTACTTAAAACTCACGCTGGGTGAGGATGTGTGTATGCCTAAAATCCCAAGAGGAGAATGGAGGAGAAGGGATTGTGGTGTGGCCACCCTCTAAACCTCGGAGGTTGATTTGTTGCTTTCTATCTCTCTCTCGTGAGCACATACACCCTATAGCAAAAATCTCTCTCTCAAAAAAGTAATGCTGTCCCCCCTTCCTTCACTAGTCATCAGAGTTATCAGGGGGTTAGTAACTAAAAATCACAAAAAAGAGGACTACACTTACTGTGTAGAAGGCTTCAGTAAAGATGTTCCAGAGAAATGAGTATTCAAAGAACAGAAAATGTACTTGTGACTGGGCTGACCTGGTTGCCTGGTGGTTAAGAAAGTCAGATCCCACATGGCCAACACAGCTCAAATTCTGGCCTGGGCAACTTGTAAAATATGCTGGGTTTGTGTGCGTTGTGTGTCCCAGATCACAAACGGATAGAGAAATGGAAGAGAAAGGATTGAAGTGTGAAAAAACGATTGTAGTGATTTTTATTGTGTAATCAGATTGTCACAACTTTAATGCACTTTTTATTGTTTACTTTTTTTTCTGATTTATCTTTGATCCTATTTCTGATTTAGACTATTTTGTACTCATAGTAAAGAATTGGTAGTAACTCAAAGATTCTTTTTGTTAGGCTATACTCCATACAGTGGGAAAAGATCTTCACTTTATGTCACCAGATGATAGCGCAATTAAAGGTAACTGGCACTTTTAAAACAAAATGCTTTTATCACCCAGAATAACCAAGTATTAAATATGCCATTAGGCTGAATCTCTCAAACAAAAATGACTTATAATTTTCCTTGAATGTTAGCAGGAGAGGAAGAAAAATCCCACTTCAGGTGAAAATGTGTTTAAATAACTAAGTGGAGGATTTCTTGAAATATCATAGGCAATTTGGTTGTTGATAAAATTTCAGAAGTTATGTTGTGAGTCTTAAAAATTCATACATTTAAAGATTTTCCTAGTATTAATTAGCTTATATATTCAAGTGATCTTTGTATATTAAATATAATCTCTAGGGATTTATTTTTGGAGTTTTAGTTTATCTACAGGGTAAGATTCAACTTGCTGGATATTCTTGGTTATTACCTATTTTTGTTCATAAATAGCACATTGACTTCTAGAATTGAAGCACAATGAGAATGAAATCTGCTCTTGATAGCTTTAGGATTATGTGAAAAATGCTAATCAAAGAAAACAGAGAACTAATTGGTGACCAGCCTTGTTAACATCATTCTAGCAAAATAGCAATTATGCCAGTTTCACGGTCTTTTTGAGAAACTTTGAGAATATGTACAGGGCGAAAACTGAAATATTAAAAAAAAGGTAGTTTTATCTATAGTAATAGTTATCCATAGTAATTAGGATATCCATTGTTCCCTCCTTTTCCCTTTTAAAGAACATTAAATTTACCATTGTAGAACTTACATAAATAATATTTACATTCCTTTTTTACCTTGACATTTTTCCTTCTTTTTTCAGAAAAGGGGTCCGGAGAAGATGGAGAATTAGTTGTGGATCCATAGAAATGACCAGTCAAAAGCTGCTCTTTATAAACAAGTGGCCTCCTACCCAGACCAAAAGAGTGTGTGGGAAAATTAAAAGCATGAAACTACAGAAAGTCGTCATTTTTAAAAAAACTTTTATATATGTCAAAACAGAATAGATGGTTTGTGCAGCGTATTTATAGTGACATTGCTTTGCATATAGATCTGGGATCTTCTCTTTGATTTTAATTGTCTGAAGTTTCGAACCAGTTGGGAAGAGTTATTTTGCTAACACATTGCCTACCTTTCAAAAAATACTATCTTTGTGTCTTTTGAATATAATATTTAAATTAAAATAGAAAAACATAGGTTCATGACAAGTACATTATATGATGCTGCTTAGGAAGATGACTTCGTTAGCAATAACTTCTTCAAAATTCTTGCTTTAATCTTGAAGGTTTGCCTTATCTGTCTAGTTAAACATTTGACAAATATTCTGTTTGAATTTGGAAGTATTCTAATGTGACAGAAGATCTGAATAAAGTTTATCCCTGAAGGTGTGGTGGGTTTCATTTTATTAAAATAGAAATAGGATATTGGATATCTGTGGTTTCATGTCTCCTCTCTGTAACTGGGGGCTGGGGAAAGCATAATATTGCCTGTTAGCGCTTATATTAATCACAAACTTGGTACTTTCTCATTTCAGTCATCAGTTCTAAGATTTATATGCATTTGTTTTGTTTTTGTTTCTTAGTTTTTGCTATAGGATGTGTGTACTTCCTAGAGAAAGACAAAATCAGAAAGAAAGAGGAAAATTGTGAAATCACCCCACAAGGGGGATGGCCACTCTGCAATCCCTTTTCTTCTAGTTTCCTCTCAGGATTTTGGGCATGCACACACACACTCCTCGTGTGATTTCCAAGCCTCTTGGTCCAGAAAGGTGGAGTCTGCTCTGTGGGACCTGGCACCTTAACCTCCACACCACCTGCTGGACCATTATGAATATTTTATAGTTAAGAAAATAGAAACGTTTTAGAGAAGCTGAATAACTTGCCTGTGGTCAAATAGTAAGGTTCACAGGCTTGATCAAACCCAGATCCATCTAACTTCAAACCTCTGCTTGTAAACATAGTTCTGTATATTGGCTTAGTATGCAAAGTATCGAGCTTAGCGTTTGGAAACTGATCTCAGCTATATGCCAAGGTCACTTATTACTGGATATGTGGCTTGGGCAGGTAGGTGATGGGCCATCTTTGAGCACTGACTTTCCATACCTGTAGCATGGTGATAATCAGACCATTTTGCAGTATTTTTAAGACTAGAAATAATTTATTTAAGGTGCTTAAAAAGGAGCAGGCCAATGGTAAATATTTCCTGAAAAAACACTCAGTATGGGACCAGCAGTTAGTGTAATGGCTATGTTGCTGGACTCCCACGTAGTTGACTGCAGTTCGAGTCCCGGATCCAGTGGCTTAAACTTATGCTGGGCGAGTGTTTGTGTGTGCCCAAGCTCCCAAGAGGAGAATGGAGGAGAAGGGATTGCAGCGTGGCCACACCCCCCTCCGGGGGGCGATTTCTCGCTTTCTGTCTCTCTTCTCTCTCTGTCTGCCTGGAGAGCACACACACACACACAAATAAAAATAAAAATAAAATAAACACTCAGTATGCACTATGCTTGGTTGTTATTTTTCTAACCTTAACTTCTGGTTATTTTCAGCAGTTATTTTCTCCTTTGAGAATCAGCAAGTGTCACCAACAAAGGACTGTGAAAGAAAAATTGCTCTTGGGGGACCAGCAGATGGCCTAATAGTTATGTCGCTGGACTTCCAGGAAGTTGACTGAGGTTCGAGTCCCAGACCGAATGGCTCAAAACACATTGAGCACGTGTGCATGGGTGCCAAAGATCCTGAGAGGAGAATGGAGGAGAAGGGATTGTGGCATGGGCATCCCCCTTGGGGCATGAGTTCTCACTTTCTGTCTCTGTCTCTCCGATGAGTGCACATGCCCTATAAGAAAAATTTCTTTAAAAAAAAAAGTGCTCTTGAATAGGACATTAGTGAAATTAGTATAAAGAAGATTTTGCCATATGAGACAGGAAAAAGATATATGCATATGACCCTGAAGCCTAATTGAAATAGTGAAAAAATGAAGAACCTCAAAAAACTGAGTATAATTCAAAAAGTAGAGAGAGTTTTGTATTAAAATACTGGGTTGTCAGAAAAGTCATGACATGTTTTTGCATAGTACATAGTGATTTCTCTGACAAGCTAGTAAGTGAGGTAGGGAAGTATGTTGCTTGCCCCTGGGATTCTGAATAGATGGATTTTTGCTGACTTATTGGAGATAATTGTGCATTACCAGGAGAAATGGTCAGAAAAGATGCATTAGGGCCAGATTATAGAAAACCTTGTTTGAAGCTAAGGAAGTTTAGTCAAACTTTCTATTTAAAAATTTTCTGTATGAATGGCTATAAGAGAAAAGTCAAAATTCTCAGAATGACTGCTTTTGTACCTTAAATCACTAATTTAGGCCTGAGTTGCCAAATCAGGATTCACAGTTACTTACTAACTGGGAAAAAGGAGTAGCTATAGAAGAGTAACCAGGTTTTCTTACTAAGTACAGTTGTCTGCTCACACAGGCTAAATTAAACTTTATGGAGAATTCAAGGAACAAGACCATACTTGGACCCAAATATATACTCAACTAATGAGTGGTATAAATTTCCATAGCTCTTTGAAAGCAAGAACATTTCTAAGAGTCCCAGAGATAGACAGGTATAAATTTATAAGCTACCTTTTTTTAACCTCCTTTTTTAATTCTACTTCCACTATGTATAGAATTTAAAACATATGTTAAATAAAATTAATTGGGAAATGAAGATGTTAGATGTAGTTTTGAAAGCTTCCTTTATTATCCTTCACAGCCTTTGGGTGAGTAACAACTTTAATGTTATAGCTACAGTCTCTGGCCTGTCTTATGTGGCTATGATATCAACGACACCTTAATTTAGCAGAGTACATCAGAAATGAAAGAAAATGCAAATCACCAGCTTTTTTTTTTGGTAAAGAGTATATGCACTCCCCAGAGACAAAGCACTCTCCACACACACCGTGGGAAATGGTCACAATGCAATCCCTTTCCTTCTATTTCTCCCACTATGGGGGATCTTGGGTACACACTTACACAAGAATGTTTTCTCAAGCTGTCAGGTCCAGGACTCAAACTTCATGGTCAGCCATGTAGGATCCAGCTGCCTTAACTACCAAGCCACAGAACTGGCTGAACCAATTTTCTTTAATCCACTGCTCCCTCCTTGTCGCCAATGTTCTTGAACCTGTCAACTCCCCATTCAGCCATCTTACTGAAATTGTATAGTATCACTAATTGGTGCTAAAACAATGGCTTTATCATTAGCTTGATCTAATTTTTCTTACCACGCCTAAAAGTCAGAAGTGCTGTCAAATTCAACCTAGAATACCATGCTGCTAAAACTCTATTGCTTGTAATAGAGAACAAAAGGCAAGAAAATCTGTTTTTACTCTATGTTTAGGAAGTCTTACATCACTACAACAGGTTTTCATTGGTATTGTGCCTGTTTTAATTCATTTGTCTGTTAATGTAAAAGCAGTGTTTAAGTGTGACACTAATAAAAAGATCACCTTAGTAAAATTAAAACTTAGGCTTATATGATTTTTGTATACTGCATTCTTTCTTTACATTTAAAGGAAAAAAAATCTAGTCCACGCCTCAATCACTATTATAGCATAACCTACATTTCAAAAATATGAGTTATTTGGGGGAAATACATTAAAATCACACACACACTCTCTCTTTTAGACAGTTCATAAACAAGATTAAAAAAAAAAAACTCTTTTAATCTAAATTCTATCTCTCTCTTTACTCTGTTGAGTTCTGTAGAATGAGGTGTTGGTTGGTTGTATTAATGTTGGTTCCAGGAATAAGATTCACATCATCTCCTTCAATCAGATAATCCCACTGATCAAAATCTTTATGAAGTCCTGTAAAATATAAACATTAATGAACATATGAAACTTGTGAGAACATTTAAACAGTCTGGTGCCTCTAGGTGGCACCACAGAATTAACAAATTATACAAACTGCTTAGAGATGGTAGAGGTTGTATCCTGTGTGGACTGCCCTGTGGCTGTGTTAGCAGCTGCATGCCAGGGGGAGAGCATGAAGGTACCTGCTGTTAGTATCCCCAGCACAGGAAGTCCATCCCTGGCTTCACAAACATGCTGATACCTTGGACAGGTGGACTTATTTTCTATGCTATATAGTATGCAGAGCAGCAAAACTAAGTTTCACAAATTTTTGTTTTCAAATTGTTTTATTGCTTTGTTCAACTGTATAAACCAACTAGAAATAGTTAAAATGAGACTAAAGCTGTGATACCATGGTTTTGTCCTGAGAATCATCTGGTTTATAATCATGAAAGAACAATCATTAGTTTCTTACCTAAGTGCTTTTGTAAAAATGCTAACGAAGCTTTGTTGGTAAGGTCAATAGCTACATAGGAGTCTATATCTCCTTGTAATCTGAATATGTGTCCAGTTATTTTGCCAGTTGCAAACGTGAAGTCAGCAAAATTCTGATGGACTGAACCCCTAAAAAGAGAAATGAGACAAAATGTTGGATAAAATTATTTTTGCAGAAAAAATACTGGCATAGTTGGTCTATTTACTGAAAACCAAGGAGATAAAATGTGTAATTTGATCTCCTTAGATGTATTTGAGAGTTACAGGCTGTTCATTTAGAGATCTTAGAGAATATCTTCCTTTTTGAAAAACAATTCAGAGTCCTGTCTTGGTATCTTGTTTTTAGAAGAAATGATTTCCATTTTTAGTTTCAACTTAAGTAGATAGAATGAAGGAGTCTCGAACTCAGAGACAGTCTACCACTTCATCCCCACCACCTAATTTGATGTCCATTTGATAGTCAGAATGCTTTGTATATAAGCCTTGGATTAAATAGATTTAAAAAAAAAAGAAAAACAAAAACCTCCTCTGTACTAGTTAAACTGTAAGCATCTTATAATATTCACACTGCTTTGTAAATTCATCAACAATGTAACATCAAGCAGAATTGTTCTTTTTCAGTGCTCATTTTTGACTATTGGAACACTGCAGGCTTGGTGACTTTTTTGCATTTTGTTCTCTTCATCTCCTTGACATCCCACCTTCCCTTCTAACCCTAACCACTCTGTTCTTCACTGTCCCTCACTCCTCTCCCATTGATGGAAATGTAGACACTCCTCAACATTCTAGTCTCAAACCAGTTCTTTATTCACTTTGCAGTCTCATCCGCTCCAGTGGAACAATATCATACCCATCCAATACATTTCCACTTTGTGGCCAGATACATATTGGATTTCCCAGTTCTCAAGGTTAGAAATGTCAAAGTTAAAACTCAACATCTGGGACTTGCAGGTGGCATGGTGGTTAAGGTGCTGGACTCCCACATGGTCACCTGTGGTTCAAGTCCCTGGCCTGGTGACTTGCTTTCTCACTTACTCTCCCTCTCTCTCTCATCAAATAAAATAATAATCATAAATAAAATAAAATAAGATAAAAAAAATAAAGCTCCACTTCTTCCCCTCAATCCAATCCAGCACAACTCTTCCTCTTCACTTTGCCTGTTCTTCTAAGCAAACTGTTATCACCATCTAAGCTGAAGATAAGGCCACAGATTCCCTCTCACTCTTCCCTATATTCCAGTCAAAGTCTAAATGTGGAAAACTCAAGAAAGCAAATAGAGATAGGGTCCTGAAAGAGCTGATAGTAGAACCCTAGATGCTACCAATAGATTAGGACTGACAGAGGAGGAGAAAAGGAAAGAGCAGTATTAACAACAGGTGAAGCAAGAAAGGAAGGGTCCTGGTAGGTAAGGGAGCAGAAATAGGGGTAGTCCACAATGGCAAATGCAGAGAGAAAGGCTAAGAGGCAAGAGGCTGCTGGTATGGCATGTGGCAGGCCTTTAGTGCCCTTTGTAGGCCAGTTTAAGTCCAGGGGATGGGGGTCTCAGGAAGCATTACACGTAGGCTATTCTTTCAAGACAAGACAAAAGATACGAAGCATAGTTGAAGGAAGGTTAGGTGTTCTATATTATTTTAGAACAGAGAAACTGGCACATACTAGTTAGCGAAACTGAAATTCTGACCTGAAATACCCAGACTCTTCCTCACCATCTTTTTAAAATCTCTCAATCCTATGAGATCAAATTCTAGCCCAATTTCTTCTAGGAATCGCTTTTTTATTTAGAAGAGACCCCTCCATTCTCTGATCCTACTGTGGTTATTATTATACTGTACGTACTCTCTTTTTTTTTTTTTGAAGAGGTTTTTTGCTATAGGGCGCGTGCGCTCACCAGACAGACAGAGAGAGACAGAGAGACAGAAAGCAAGAAATCACCCCCAGGGGGGATGGTCACGCTGCAATCCCTTCTTCTCCATTCTCCTCTCGGGATCTTGGGCACGCACTCACACGTGCCCGGCATGAGTTTTAAGCCACTAGGTCTGGGACGCGAACCATGGTCGACTATGTGGGAGTCCAGCGACATAGCCCTTATGCTAACTGCTGGTTCCTGACTGTACATACTTTCTTCCTGCCTCCTCTCACCTACTAAATAAATTTTCAGATAAGAAAAGAATGAGTTCTATCTTTGTCTTGTAATAGCTCATTGTGAGTTCAAAACCTTACTAGAAGTTACCTTTCACATTCAGGATATAAGCATATTGCCAATGCTCAAAGGTATCTAAATTACAGCTTCTGAGAATTTATAAACTCATATTCTTTCCCAATAGGTAAATACACGGCAGGTCTTAACAGGTAATCTGACTTTTTGTTGTTTAGAGAGTTTCTAGTCTAGCCTAATGACAAAATACTTCCCCCCACTCTACTCCCCAAAACACGTAGGTATGTTCTGGTGTGTAGGTGTAAGTAACATGTGGCCTAATGCAGATTCTACTTATCAGTACTACGCATTGTATACATTAACATACTAAAACATTTTTCATTTTAAAAAGTCTGAATATATTTGGAAATTGAGATTATTTAATATTCTCCTTATAGTAAGTCCAAACAACCAATTTTGCAATTCTGTAATGCCTACCAGATGATATCTATCGATTTTTACCCAAGTTTTTGATGATGGAATAAGTCACTTACCTGATTGTAATCATTTTTCTTTCTTTACCAGGTAAGTAGCACTTTTTCATTTTTGCAATATTAGCAGGAAATTGGAACCGTTCAGAGTTGATAAAAAAGAGGGGCTGAGGAATTCTGGAGTACACTTCATCACCTAGTGGAATCATCCACGCATCCAGGGCAATACCACATCTGCAGAAATTTGTTGACAATGATAAGGCAGGTGAAACACCGGCCAACATATAGGACTTCCTAATCATGATAGGATTAACAGACACATAGAACGCCAGTATATTATGGGTTATTTTGTTGGATTAAATTTGGAAAGGAAATATGATTAGCTTTGTAAGATAGCACAACAAGAATTCTATCATTTTCTTTAGTAATTACAACCTTTAGAAAACTATATCCTTAGAGTGGGCCAGCAAATGGTGTAGTGGTTACATTACTGGACTCTCACATCGTTGACCACAGTTCAAGTCTCAGACCCGGTGGCTTCAAAATTTTGCCACGTGCGTGTTCATGTGTGCTCAAGATCCTGGGATGAGAATGGAGGACAAGGGATAGCCGAGTGCCACACCCCCTGGGGAGTGATTTCTCACTTTTCTTCTCTGTCTCACTTTTCTTCTCACTGTCTCTGTCTCTGTATCTCTCTGTTTCTCTCTCTCTCCAGAGAGAGCACACACACCCTAAGGCAAAAACTCTCAAAAAATATATATGCTTACAATTTTTATTTATTTTTGAAATAAACTTTAATAATTTCTTCAAAACTGTGGGTTGGGGCCAGCAAGTTATAGGGTGGTTAACTTGGATGGTTAACTGGATCCCACACGGCTGACTATGTGGTTAGAGTCTTGGACATGGCATCTTGAGAAACACACAGGATACATGTGCATGCGTGCTCAAAATTCAGACAGAATGGAAGAGAAGGGATTGCAGCTGGCCATCCTCCCTGGGGAGGTGCTTTCTAATCTCCCATCTCTCTCTGGTAAGCACATGAGCCCTATAGCATATATTTAAACAAAACAAAACAAAACTAGGGATTATCTGAAAAAAACAAACAAACAAACAATTAATGTATTACTTCCCCTTGTGTTTTCAGAGCTGCTAGGCATTCCACAGTTTATTATACATTTTCAGAGTAACAAGGGGATTTACTCCTGGCTTTATAACTAGATGTGCCTCAACTGAAACGTTGACTAGGGGTTGAAGAAAAACTATGGGGCATATAATCTGAAAATGTAAGAAAATTCATCCTAATAGTAAATTTACCTAAGTTTCCTGACTTTTTGAAAATTTCATTTTATCTGCTAAATGGATGAAAGAAGAGAATTCTTTTACAGTGAAACAGATTTTAAGAAATTCAAGGTGAAGTTTCACAAATTATCTTGCCTACTTTTTTTCTAGTTGATTCTACATGAGGGAGGAAGTAGTTCAAGAAGGAAAATGTTTCTGAGTTAGAAAACTAGGGTTGGTCCAGTAAATGGTATGGGGGTTAAAGTGCTGGACTCCCATGTGGCTGCTTGCGGTTTGAATCCCAGACCTGACAGCTTGAAACTCATGCCAAGTGCATGTATGTGTGTGCCCAAACTCCTGAGAGGATGGAGAAGAAGGGACTGGGGGATTGTGGTGTGGCCATCACCCCTAGGGAGTGATTTCTCACTTTCTGTCTCTCTCTCTCTCTCCAGTAAGTATATGCATCCTATAGCAAAAGTCTCTCAAAAAAATAAATAAAATAAAATAAAATAAAAGAGAAGAAAAAAGAAAGGAAAAGAAAGAAAGAGAAAGAAAAAAACTAGAGTTTAGTCATGAGTTTCACCCAAGTAACTATATAATTTTAGGCCCAGTTCCATATTAAAGATGCCACCTTCTGCTGGGTAGTAACTAATTAAAACAATTAAAAACCTGCCTATTCTATTGGGGAAGTCTGGAAATAATATAAGAAGGCAATAATATTATCTATAATCATTATGACAACAGAAAAATGCATTTCTAAAGATAAGTAAGATAAATTTTCAAGTGAAATTGCTAAGTCCTTGGGAAGTTACATTAAGAATGACAAGGGAAAATATATAAAAGTCAAAGCATTTTCAGTAGCAGGAGAAATAGATTTTATCTGCCCAGGAGTATTTGCATGGAGTACTTGGAGGCAAAGGAACAGACTTATAAATTCCATAGTATCCCTTCTCCACTAAGACTTTGACTATAAAATTAGATCTCACATGTATTTAATCCTCCTCTTCCAATCATTTACAGTTCTCTGTTTATTTTGTCTTATTTTCTTACCTGAATCTCTGGTCTCCACTAAGAGCCTGAATAACTGTTCCTCCACCAAAAGAATGTCCAATTATTGCTATTTCATTCCTATTGATAGAGTCCTATGTGGAAAAAAAAATATGATATAACTCACAGCTATCTCACATGGTGTTAGACGAATAGACTCAATGATTTCGTCAGTCATTCCACAGGCTTGCCTAAGTATTTTACTTTCTTATAAAATAAAACAGGCATATACACACATACATACCGCATATGTACACATGTACAGCTCATGAAAAACGGAATTAAAGCACAAATTAATTTTGGTGCAAAAAAGTAGAAATTTAGAAATAGTTTTTTCATAATATACATTTTCCACAGGCTTTTTGGAGATCTCTCTCATACATATACATATACGTATAAAATAAAATAAATGTGTGTATGTGTATGTGTGTGTATAAAACATTTGTGAAAATTCTGAAGTAAATTTAATGAATGGACTTCCTCATCACCCACACTTGAAACTTCAACGACAATGCTGTCTTCCATTTCTCCCCACCCGGTGATTTATGGATTTGTTCATGCCATGAGTACTTATTGAACACCTACTGTATGCCAGACTCTGTGGTCTCATGTTCAATGAACTCACAGTCTATCAGGGAAGAAAAGTGACACGTGCATGAAGTAATACAGTTCCATGGTGCCCAGGAGCACATGTGACGGAGAGCTAACCCAGGTCAGGGGTGGGCACTGGGGTCCAAGAAAGCTTCTTGGAGGAGATGATGTCTGAATTGAGTCTTGAAGATTAAGCAGGGATTAATCAAGGAGAAGGATGTATGGGTCACAGGGAGACAGCATATCCAAAGGCATGGACACAGGAGCGAGTGACTGACTCAGGGACAGAAACTCTTCCTTGTATCTGGAGAACAGACCATCATGTTATCCTCAAACTCCAGTACTTACAGCTGCCTCTACTCCCTGTATACGACACTTTAGAGTCTTCGCTAATACTCTGTTATTCTTCCCCCTCACGACATTTTATCTAAAACTTCTTTATTTCTTCCATGAGAGTGAGTGAAACACTCCCAATTGGGTTCCCCCACCACCAGTTACCTCAATCTCAGACAACCTGGATCATGGGCACACATGTGTGCGCCTTGTATGCTCAGATCTGGTACAAAAACTTAGGACCTTTCATTCCCATGCGTGTCTAACTGTGCCACTGTCTGGCCCCAGTTTTTTATAATTTTAAAGACAAGGTCTCACTATGTTGCCTCTAACTCATGACCTCCCTGCCTCAGCCTCCTAAGTAACTGGAGTCACAGGTGTGCACCAACATGTCCAAATGTCCCTGTCCAAAACTTTTGACCAACTTTTCAAGATGAAGCTCAAAAACGTTTAGGAGTCATCTGAAGAAATTGTAATATTTCTATTGGAGATATTTTAGGTTAAATTATATGAAGTTAGCATTTTTGTAAATCAAACGAATAAATATGGGCAATTTCACATATAGTTCAGTCTAAAGCATTCTTTGTTGCTGTGATACTTTACCTGTGCTTTTCTGTGTGTGCTTTTTGCAGCACGTTTTCATGCTATATTTAGCAACAGAGCAGACAATCAGGTAACAGAGCAATAAAGAACTACTGGACATGGGAAAAAGAGCTTTTCTTAGCTTACCTTCAGTTGTTCCACATCAAACTCTAAATCTAATAAATTTTTTACTGGCTTTCCATGATCAATGTCAAGAATCAAATTGAGGGCTTCGGAACATTCCTTTGCTCTTTGCCGTACCTAATGTTATTATTAGAAGAAGGAAATGACAAAGTAAAAAGTTATAAAACTTTATTTTAAAATTTGTATAAAGGTTGCACATGGGAAAAATAGTTGGTTGGTCACAAAGCAGAAATGTCTAGAATACAAGTTAGCATAACAACACAGGCAACAGCTTCATAGGTAGGTATAACTTAGTCTAAAACCTGGTTCTGTAGCGTGAGTGGTGGAGGGTGGGTGTGAGGTGCAAGGGGAAGAAAAAATATGAGAAAGGAGGTACTGTATGAATATGTTGTCTGTGTAATTCTTTAAAAGAATAAACAGAAAAATCTAGAATAAAACAAAGTGAACAAAACAAAAACCTGGTTCTGTTGCTTACCTACTGCATGGGTTCAGATGACTCACTGTTCCTGAGAGAGTCTCCATTTACTATATAATAGTGCCTACCTCAGTGAAATGTGGGTGAGCCTGAGCATGACAACATATGTACATGCGATGACATGTGAAAAAGCAGCCAGTCTGGTTTATTTCACTTAGTTATTCTCATCACTCTAAGACAGATAACTGCTGTTATTCATTATTTTGCAACAGATAGAAGATGAAAGCGCAAAAATCAAAATCCAAGATCATCCCACTACAAAGTGATAAAGCCAGGCTTCAAACACAGAAAGTTGGATTCTAAGGCTTGTATTCTTAATACTACTGAAAACGGCCTCTCTGAAAAGTAGTTTTCTATATATTATCTTGGGGGTGGAATCTATTAATTTATTTTCTAGTATCTCTGAGATTCTAAAATTAGACTTTTTGTTTGGGGGTTTTTGTTAGTTTGTTTTTGCTTTCGTTTTTGTTATAGGGCAGGACTGGAATTCGCACTGCAAAGTTGGTCATGCGGGATCCAGTGCCCTAATCTCCACAACACCTGCTGGCCCAAAATAAGAAGTTTTAATGCAGGGCCCAGCAAGAGACGTAGTGGTTGGGATGCTGGACTCCCACATGGTCAATTGCGGTATAAGTCCCAGATTTGGTGGCTTGAGACACATGTTGGGCACATGTGCATGCATGCTCAAAATCCCAGGAGAATGGAGAAAGCACTGTGACAAGGCCATCCCTTCTGGGGAGTGATTTCTCACTTTTCCTCTCACTGTGTCTTTCTGTCTTTCTGACAAGTGCATGCAACCTATGGCAAAAACCTAAAAAAAAAAAAAAGAAGTTTTAATGCAAAAGAATTCTGAATGTTTATTGTCATCTCTCAGGTATTTATGTTTGCCTTTGTTTTCACTATAAACCAGACATTTCAATAAGGGAATTTTATTACTCTTGGGAATGGGAAATAGGAGAGCTCAAGTGTAGCCTGACATCTGTAAAATTCAATTAAAAATGTCTTTATTTTTGGACCAGCAGTTGGCATAATGGCCATGTTGCTGGACTCCCATTTAGTCAACCACAGTTCAAGTTCCAGACCAGGTGTCTTAAACTCACGCCGGGTGTATGTGCATGCCCAAGATCCCGAGAGGAGAATGGAGGAGAAGGGACTGTGGCATGGTCATACCCCCTGGGGTGTGATTTCTTGCTTTCTGTCTCTCTGTCCCTCTCTGTCTTTCTGGTGAGTGCACGCACCCTACATATTAAAAAAAAACTCAAAACAAAACAAAAAAGCCTTCATTTTATACATGTTTTTAGGTCACAGAGTCACTTCTCTTCTTATTGTAGTGTACCTGCTTATTTCGTTCAAGAATCTCTTCCTCTCGTTTTAGGGTTTTAAGGTAGAGCCAAGTCTTGTTTGCTGTATCTGCAGCAGCTTGGTCATTGAAATAGTAAGTAGCAGATGCAGAGCCGTCTCTATAACAAACAAAATGAATTACTTATCTGTGGTTCCTCCCTTCCTCATTTGACCCATGTTCCTCAACTCTATCCTTGACTCAACTTCCCTCTGATCTTTGGCTTCCATTTCTTCTTCCACTCTCTCCCTCTTTTTAACTAAAGAGGATCCCAAGGGAATTCTAACAGAAGGACTTTTTATGTCTACTGTCAAGTTGTAGGTAAACTCAACCCATTCTACTTTCACAATGCTGGGAGGTGATGTGGACCATATTGAAAACTCACTCTCAGGAATCAATCCCAGCACTGCTACTTACTAGCTGCATGGCTTTGGGCAGGCTACCCTTTCTCACCTTTATGTTCCTCTTTCTTCTTCTTCTTTTTCTTTTCTTTTTTTTTTTTTTTTGATTAAAGTCATTCCTAAATATTTTATTCTTTTTTTGATGCTATTATAAGGGGGGATTGTTTTTCTTAATTTTTTTTTGTTTTTATTTTTTAACATTAATATGCTATACATCATTACAGTATACAAAATGAAGTTTTCATCCAAAATACATTGTCTGTTGGCTCAATCAAGTACATCAACATATGTGTTATCAACAAACAATTTTCCATTTCTTTTTTTTTTTTCCATCCAGAGTACACTGTATATTGTCTCAATCAAGCATATCAACAAACATGTTATTATTAGCAAGTGATCTTCCATTTCTTGTTTTCTGTATGTTTTGCTTTTTTCCCCCTATCCTTGGTTCCCTCTCTCTTACCCTCTGCCACCTCCTGTTCTCCTCCCACACTTTCTCTGTTATCTATGTTTGCTTTCTATACCATTTTCCCCCCACATTTTATTGAATCACCAAAGACCCTCATCAATCCAAATACCCTCCTAGCAAACACATGTGACACATTTCCATGAGCACAAGTCTAACTTTACGCATCCTATCAAGTAGCACCTAACTGGGGCTACATATCCTACTGCAGTCATTGAATAGATATATTTTGTTTTCCTGAAACTCTTTTTTGTAACTCAATTTACATTCCTTCTCTAGGCATCATCACAGCACACAAAATGCGATCTCCCATCCAGTACACACTGCATAGTGACTCAATCATGCACATTACAAAAAATATAAATTTCCACTTCTAGTTGCTAGAATTAATTCCACCCCTCTTTCTGACCCTCTGTCCCTTCCCACCCTCCTCTCACACCACCTCTAGTGTCCAAAATTGTCCTCCATTCCCTTCCCACCCACATTGCATTGATCACACAATTTCCTACATAACCTGACTACTTTCAAAGGTGAGTTCCCTCGTTACTACTAAGAAAACCAGTTTTAACTTAAATCAAAGAACCGCCAAGGAACTTTGCTTAAAGCCCGGAAACAGGTTAGGATTCTGTTCAAATGGTAGGTGCATGAACCTATCAGTCTCATATACTTTTATCTTCTGTTCTGGTTCAATTTTCCTGATTAAATTCTGGGATATAGTATTCAACTCCAGACTTGTCCCTATGATTAAGTTAGCTACTTTCTCAGTTTTTGGACTCTTATTTCCATGTATCTGCGTTTAGTTTTCCTGATACAGCACATCCTTGAGAACTTCTTGGAGGTCTGGTCTGGTGCTGGTAAATTCTTTCAGGTTTTGTTTATCTGAGAATGTTCTTGTCTTTTCTTCCCACCTGAAAGATAATCTTGCCGGATACAGTATTCTTGGCTGAAACTGCTTCTCTCTTAACACTTGGAATATATTTTCCCATTCTCTCCTCGCTTTTATTGTTTCTGATGAGAGATCTGCTGTTAGCCTGATGGGATGTCCTTTGTAGGTAACTTGATGTTTTTCTCTTGCTAATCTTAGTATCTTGTCTTTGTCTGCAGTTTTGGTCAACCTGGCTATAATGTGTCTTGGAGAAGATCTTCTAGGGTTGATTCTATTTGGGGTCCGTTGTATTTCCTGGGACTGGATCTTTGAATGCCTCTCTAGGTTTGGAAAGTTTTCTTGCAGGATTTCCTGGAATAGATTATCAATGCCCTTATGGGTTTCCTCACCTTCTGGAATGCCAATTATCCGGATATTTGGACGTTTGATGGTATCCAGTACTTCTCGCATATTATTCTCAAATTTTTGTGCCATTTTCTCAGCCTTCATGGTGGATTTTTCTAGGCCAGCCATTTTCTCCTCTACATCTGAGATTCTATTTTCTGAATGATCTAGTCTGCTTTTAATGCTTTCCAGGGAGATTTTGACTTCTTGTATTATAGACTTCATCTCTAGCAGTTCGGTTTGAGTCTTTTGTAAAGTGTGTAATTCCACTTTTAGATCTTGCAGGAATTTCCTCATCTCTTGGAACTCGTCAATCTCTTTCTCCTTTCTCTTTAGTAGTTCATTATCTCTCTTCTCTTCCATCTCTGTTAGCTTAGACATTATGAATGATCTGAATTCCTTATCAGACATTTCCATGATTTTCACCGAACTGCTTGTGGATGAAGAGTTACTCTTTTCCCTAGGAGGAGAGGTATTTTCTTGTTTTCCCATGTTTCTCGTGATCCGGCGGTGATTTCTTGTCATCTGATGAATGTTGTGTTTTCTTTCAAATTCTGGAGGTTCAGCCTTAATGTTAAGGAGCAAGCAGACAGAGGTGATCCAGAATCTCTTTGCTGTTCTATTGTGCTTGCTGGTGCAGCAGATTCAGAAGATAGTGGGGAATATTTCAACCCTATTAGTATTTGAATGTTTAGCTACAGTGATCTTAGATCTGTCTAAAAACACACTGAAAGGATATTGGAGAGTGAAGAGACAAGAAAAAAGAAAACGAGACAGAGAAAAACAACAAAAAAAGAAAAAAAAATCAAAAA